CCAATGTGGTCGACTGGTGCGCATCGATAGGGCTGAAATTTGTGTCAGAATAAAATGTAATGTGGTGTGTGTAAATGCGTACCAGTTGTGTGTAAATGTATATGTGGGAGTAGCCCACAGTAACTAGTGGTACCAGTGGACCAGGACGGTATCCGTAAATTCCAACATAGCGATTCTACATTATATTCCTTATGGTTCTACAGATTTGGTATCACTTACTGCGTACATTTGACCTCATGCAGTAGAGCAGTAGAGAGAGAGAGAGAGAGCAGTCCGGATTGTTGATAATCCTGATCTAACGGATTATTTGGGACCGGTCCGATTCTGTGAATAGACTCTGATGCTCTCTGTGTTTTGTACTCCGTTTAAGATGATTCCGTAATATTTTTTGCCAACATGCCACGCATTAGAGGTAACTTAATTTTTACCTCCTAGAATCGCTGCAAGAGCTTTATAATAAACTTCTCTTAGATAATACTAGAGCCTTAATAATTGGACCTCAGATGGGCCGAAACATAAGCCCGTCTGCCATCGCACGCAATAACAAAACACAATTTCTTACAATTTTACACGTTCGATCTAAATTAATTAAATAATTTTAAAAGGTCTCTCAAATAAATTTGCTTGTAGCTCGACGAGATGGGGCCGGTTCATTTACAATTACGCAATATGATGTAATTTTCATTTTCCTGGAATCATGCTGGTGAGGGTGCGAGGAAGGGATCAGTTTGGTTGAGAACTCGGTCCCAGACCGAGCATGTGACGCCGCCAGCTGCTTTTGACACTGTTTAATGGCCACGCTATCAAAGTGTGTAAAAATAAAAGGAAAATCTCATTAATTTCCCGATTACATCATATAAAACAGAAATTGGATTTTTGTACACATTTTTCTGCTTTTAAAGAAAATCGAGAAAATGTTAAAGTTAATGGATTTTCCCCTCGGATCTTGTTGTTTCTGTCGCTTATATGTAAACGAGTGATTTTATTGATTCTACTTGGACGGTAAATAGACTGTGTAATTCTGAACAACTATCTTCATTTAAAAAAAAATACATTGTTTCAACTTTCAGTAATTCTTTAGACTAGAGGTCCCGCAGTAGTCGAAATTCGACTATAATTAATTGGAATTGTAAGTTTGTACACTATTATGATTGTATTTTATACTTCTATAATCACAAATTTCGCCAAGACTACACTATAAAAAATATTAACAAAGACAAACAATATTTAATCTATTCTCAATTTGACCACAGACGTCAAGAACAAAATAAATAGTATGCATGCGTGTGTGCGTCAAATACATGGTATGTAGTGTGTGTAATGTTTTCTTTATTGATTTAATGTATCTTTTATGCATTATTTAAAAAAAATATTAGCATTGTGCACTTCTTCTCTATATTCTCAATAAGTGTGGAAAATTTCATACTCCTCCGCCCGCGCAATTTTCGTAAACAGGGATACAAAGTTTTTGCTTCACGTATTAATATATAGATTAGTTTGATCTTGGATCTACAAATTTAAAAGCTTTGCAGTTTCATTTGCCTCTAAGTTGGAATCCCAATTTGATACGCAAATATATAAATCAGGATTTTCGATAGTAGTGTTTTCTCATTATAATCGTCACTCGGTAACCCTTTAGTACCCCCTACTACTCGTCAATAAGTTCAGTGAATAGTAGAATGTTTACAAAAGCACCTGAATTGCTGACGAGGTGTCGTAATTGTATCCTTTCAAAGTCGAACCATCAATCATTATGTCTTCAGATACTTAGGAGTGAACAAACAGTTGGAATACTGCGTCAAGCATGTTGGATGATTTGTCTATTTCGTAAACGTAATATGAACCATAATTCGCATGTATCAATCTATTCATTAAACAGATCGGTGGATAAGCTAAAGGCATTCTGTAGTAACATCCTATAACTGGTGGTAGGACCTCTTGTGAGTCCGCGCGGGTGGGTACCACCACTCTGCCTATTTCTGCTGTGAAGCAGTAATGCGTTTCGGTTTGAAGGGTGGGGCAGCCGTTGTAACTATACTCGAGACCTTAGAACTTATATCTCAAAGGTGGGTGGCGCATTTCCGTTGGGGATGTCTATGGGCTCCAGTAACCACTTAACACCAGGTGGGCTGTGAGTTCGTCCACTCATCTAAGCAATAAAAAAAACCTTATAATTTCACATTTTTAAATTGAAATTATTTACTCTGCGACTTTTCAGTTTCAACCTGGTCAAAATGATATTCCGGTTATTTACTAGAACCTTCTGCAATATTAACGCCCCGTTCATACGACGTCTCCCTCTCCGTCGTTTCGCTTGTCGAAATACACACACGTCTGTACACTCAATTAAAAGATTATGACTGGTTCATTTAACGTGAGCGTGGCGTTGTATACGGTATGATTTATCGAGCGCCCGCGGACAGCTCGAGATCAAAACTGGTAGATTTATCCTGAATGTCTGCGAATTGAAAGCCGCAATATGTTTAGGTAATGTAGTGATCTGGGTTAGATTAATGGCTCAGTTAGAGGGGTTTCATGGTAAAAAAATATTATTATTATTTAGTTAAGATACCTTTTCTATCAGTTTATAAATAATTAATCGTTCTACGTTCTTCTAACTGCGTTATCGAACTCCGACCCGCCCGACTCATCGTGATGTTGGCATTTATTTTCAATACCGCTGTGACGAACTGCATCTTTTACGCGTTGTCGTGGCGTGCAACCTCTTTGACAGGACATAAAACCTATAATGACTAGACATAGACAGACTAAGACAGACATTTGAAAATAATTCGAAAATAAATGAAACGAGGGCGTACGTGACCAGCGGCACGGCAGTACATTTTTTGACTTCTGAAAAGACAGACATGCAAAAAGACGAAAAAGTACGAATAATAATTGACCGCTCTTATATAAGATATTCAAGTGACCTTCGACCGTTCAAGTAGTCATTCGACCGTTCATGCGTTGTGGAAAGAAGCGGATGCTATCGGCATAGGCCTGGTAAACTAAAAAATCGTCCGACGACCGCCCGATTAGCCTCCTCATGTCTCTAAGGAAACTATACGGGCGTCTGATCTACAATCGCCTCAAGCACTTCGTCTCATGCAAGTGCATTCTTATCAATGAACAGTTCGGATTCCGCATGAATCACTCATGCATACATCAGGTGCACTGCCTCACGGAACACATTCTCATAGGGCTTAACCTGACAAAAAATTGTTCTACTTAAGAGCCTTCTTCTTTGACGTCGCAAAAGCGTTCTATAAAGTCTGGCATAATTTATATAAAAATATACCACCCATTAGTTTCATCCGATTGAGAAGAAAGTCTAGATTAAAGTGGCGAAGTCTGTCTCCACATCTTCCTACACAGCTTGTACTTATAAGACAATTTCCATAGAAACCGTATCTGGACACTTTCCAAAAGTTTCTTGTACGTCTGATAGTGCGGACTCCACACAATGCAGCAATATTCCAAGGTATAGCGTACTACTACGAGAGCATTATAAATTGTGATCGTAGTGTTTGGTTCTTTTTAATTTTCTGCAATTGCGAAATATAAATCTCAATGTTTTAAAGCCCTTTCTAGTAATATTTTCAATATGTGTGCTGAATTGTAGCCTATTATCAATGGTCACATCCAGATCTCTAATAGAGTCCACCTTAGATAGCGGTGCTCCATTAATATGATACGTTCGGCTAGTTGAACATATTTTCCTAGTGAAACGTATTACGTAGCAGATATTCAGACTTGATATTCAGATTGATATATTCAGACTCGTTCCATTCGAACCTCACCAGCATAACAAACTATCCAAGTCCCTCTGCAATAATTCAGAATCAAGAGATGAGTTTCTTTTCTCAAGATTTGATTTTCATTTTTCTTTGAAGATTTCAATAGAATATACTTACTGTAAGTACACGTGTTCAATATACTGTAAGTACACGTGGTGAGCAGCGCCGGCTATGAACCCTTAAGCACACTTTCTACCCGCCGTTGCCTAAATACAATGGAAAAAAACTCATAGAATTGTAATGGAATTTTCTTATTTTTTAAACACCTGTCTATTAATTTCACAATAAAAGATAAATAAATGAGTGTAAAGACAATTAATTCAATTTAATTTAATAGACTATTTACATATTATGTTTCTTAATGAATGTAAATTCGTGTAACAAGTGGATAAGCTACTGGTATAATTATTGACAAAATTGTTGCGTCCTTTTCATTATTTTTTCCCCCTACCTATGCTGATAGCCTTGAGAGGCTATATCAGCTTCGCCCTAACGTATAGGTGAGCTCACGGGGCTGAAATCGGAATGTTGCTAACACTGGCTTTAGCAAGAGCAGTCCTTCGCAGAATCTCAGTGGGCTGTGTCTGTGGATTAATTCGCTCGTCGAGCCCTTCCTCTCAAGCGACGGGTTCGACGAGGACGGTGACCGGTGCTTGTGATACCTAAAAGCACTGTTAATGGATCGGGACGATCCGTAACGACGTGATAATTTGTGCTGACTGTAGGGCTGCCGTTGTAATATAACAACTGAGACCTTAAAACTCATGTCTCGAGGTGGGTGGCGGCATTTAGATTGTAGACGTCTATGAGCTCCGGCAACCACTTAACACCAGGTGGATCGTGAGTATGACGGGTATCACAGGGACACCCTGCGAACTAATGCGGATTCCTATAAAAATCGATGGCTCCAGCAGCTATGTCTTTGTGTTGTAAAATCTATATTATAATCGTCAAAAATAAATATCTTTATTGTAAACTGTACTTTACTTTCAGTAACATTGATACTACAAATTGAACAAATAGATGTGTAATAAATAACCGATAAGGTTTCACCTTAAACCAATTTAAGTCGCTGAGAACTAAACAGTCACGTAACTATATTTGGTGAATAAGAACGTTATGTATTTGAATAGTTATTTTTGCAAATAATATTAAAAATATTGGAATTAGTACGACGCAAAAGAAGCCAGGGTAATCGACATACTTTAAATACATACGCTTATGATATCACTAGGCCGGTACAATTAGCCCAGAACACTATTGGTTTTGTGCTCATTGATTGTCACTCATCAGTAAGGCTAGTTGCCTATTTATTAGTTACTTAAAATGGCATCGAATTGTTTTTTACCTTCGATGCATAAAACTATTTGTATATTTGGTCGGAAACTGTTGCGCACAAATCAATCCTGTGGTACTTTCTGGCCTCGAAATTAGTTCCTTCTAGTAACCACAATCGGGCAATTACATATCGGATTTTCCTAATGAAGGCGAAGAGTTCATTGTCTACGTGATTTGCAGACGAACGGTCCATTTCAGAATTCATAGAGAGACTCGTCCGAAGCAAGACTACTATTGCCCGCTACTATTACAAAGACAATTTATTGCAAGAAAAAACCTTTACATAATAACTATAGAGAATGTTGTATTTGTAGAACTGTTATTATAAATTCACGAATATAATATTGTTTCACTACGGGTAGTGGTAGTGCATTTGTTTCGGATCAAGTTGTATATTATTTTCAAGACGGTAATGGGGCTGACATCATACTGCAGAGCAAGGATCGTGTAATAATAATCTGAGACATTCCACGAATATTCTCTATATTTTGCACAAACTTATTAACGATCACAGTGGCCGGGCTTTCTTTTAACAGGAGAAAATCACCTGATCCTCAGCCGCTGCACACGTATGTGGGAGTTGAACCTCACCAAAAACTCCTGGCGATTAACCGTCGGGGCCATTGAGACGGCGGGACAGGGTGGCCGCAGAGCATATCACATCCATTCCGCCATCCCCCAGACGCCGAACCAGCGGCCGTGCGCTAGTTGCCTCGGCGATGGGCCGGGAGCCCGCCTTGATGTCATCGGACTGCACTTTCCCCCGGCGTGGTCGGGGGAACGTGACCTACCATCACTCGACTTCCTATTATGGCGAGCGGGCCGAGCACGCCACCCCACGCCTGGGTCCCTCCTCGCACAAAGTCGGTAAAGACCAAAGCTCTTAGGGGACTCCCTAAGAGCTTCGGGCCCGAACTGGGTTACAGATGAGACTACCGGTCCCGACCCTCTGCTCGACGGCGGCGAATTTTTGCGTAGTGAGAAGAGCTTTGCTTCACTTGTCTCGTTGCCTCCTTCCGCGAGGTGATGCACTCGCAGAAGTCGAGAATAGCCTTCCGGAACACATAGACGTCAAGAATGAACGTCACGACGCCAGGCAACGACGAGTGTTGTCCTATTTTTGCATTACACCTCCCAAGCGGGGCAGACAGCGTGCGTATACTCCACCGTGTCCAGGTCATGTCCACATTTTGTTGTTGACTCAGCTCCTATCTGGTGCAGGTGCTGACTGGGCAAGGATGCCTCAGAAGACCTCGAAAGGTGAAACGTCCTCCGCCACGATTAATCCAGTCATCAACGACCGAATAAACCGCTTCCGCAGTCCGTTGACCCCACGTGGGGTTGACCAACCGCCTCGATCACGATTTGAGCACGAACTGCCTACCGCGATCAACAGTACAACCAGACAGTGCGGCTCACCCCAAGGACGCCCAGCCGACGGAGCCTTCGAGACGAATCGAAGGCTCTGAAACATTGGCCGTCTCGGTACAGCAGCACGTCAGGCCGCCCAGACGGTGCCACTGGTGTCCCAGAATACCCCGCTGGACGCACGGCAGCGCGCTAGAGTGCTGGTAGCGTGCCGCGCGGCCTCTACCCCCTCAGGTCACCCCTTGACCTTCACCGGGGGGAGGCCGCTACCTATAGAGGCCAGGACGTACGGGCGTATTCCCGCCTCCGGCCCCCGGCTCGACGGCGACGGATCGGTGCGGAAAGGGAAGAGGCATTCGAAAGACCTGGCCTCCAACAGGACTCAACCAGCTGGCGGAGGTAGAGGGACACTATATGCCTCTCTAATACCCCCTACAGTCCAGGGTGGGGTGTTAAAGGAGCTGGCGATGTCAAGAGACACCGTCAGCGCCACCTGCCCCGTGAGACGGCCTTGACCGACAGTGCCCGCTCGCGAAGAATCGTATCCACGGTCAAACGGCCCTCCTAGAAGCCGCACTGCTCCGCCGACAGGTCAGGTCCAACCCCCGACCAGGTGAACTGTGGCCAAGCCACATAAATGTTTTCTTTCAACCGTTTATTCGTTTTCCTCCAACCATTCTCTTAAATAACAGTATACAATTGAAACTACGACCTCATGTTTCAAGATGGTGACGACTCACGTTATGGAGTTTATGGATTTGATAACAACTTAGCCACCTAACGCAATGAAAGATAAAAAACAAGAAACTTCAAGTGCGTGAACAATTAAAATGATGTTGATATTAAAATACACACGACTAGCGTTATCTACGACTGTACGCTACGAGTCTCCGTTTTCAACTACAGTAACAGTTGTGTGATTATTCTAGCATTTTCAAGATATAAATAAGTTACATGGAATAATGGATGCTGCCGCTACAAGATGCACCATATCCGCAGTCCAAAAAGCCTTCAATGTCATAAGCATCCTTCATCTCACATCCTACGCTTTGCCGGATAACGATAATGATAATGGTAAGTTTTTTAAATCATCAACTTAATGTCCCTAAGTAATGGTGCTCCCATTGCAATCTCTCATCTCTATGTTTACATGCTTTTCATTACGGGCCTGCTGTTTCTACTGTCCTTATTCGATTTCCCAGCGATTGTCGCTAGATTTTCTTGGAGCTGGATCACTAGTATTATCCTCCTCCTTGATATAAATACATATATGCATATATCCTTATAAAGAAGTATAAGACTACGACTACTTTATTCATGTCCATTTATTGCGTATAATTTGGTACCCGATTTGTCTTCCCCAGCAAAAACATCCGCCGACGTTAAATGGATATTACCTATTAAGTTTGTAAAATTTTAACTAAAACTTTGTGAAAACTGGTTACCGAAAAAATTGATTTCAATTAATTTGAAACACTCTCCGAACCGGTTAACCTTTTAAACTAACACCATTAAGCTTTTTTTTTTATTAAAATGTAAGTTCACGACCATAACCCGATAACAGGGCATCTAACCTATTTATTAGTAGTACAAGAAATACAAACCACTTCCGCATTACTGTTACTACTTCTCCATTATTCGATCGCGATTGATGTTCATGCTTCTTATTAATATTTTTGAAGGACTGGTGGTGGACTGTTTCTAGCTCGCAGGATTATCAGGGTATCATGGTGTTGTCAAATTTTGATGGTTGGCAGGGCAGGGCAAGGGCAGGTCAAAAACAAAGGTTAACCGAAAAAAAAGAGAAGCGTCTGCTCAACTCAGCTGTTGAAATATAACTAGTCAGGTCATAAGTATTGTCACACAGTAAAAACTTTTCTTTTAGAATGCTGGCCACAAAAAAGTGTATTGAATTCGAATTTCGAATTGTTCATGAAAAAAAAAAGGTATACTTTTAGAATTTTATTCATTTTTAAATATGGAGTGGACGCTTAAAGAAGACCGTGTTGCAGTTATTGCGTTGCATCGTTGCGGTTACGCGCCAATTAAAATTTTTAACATACTGAAAAATTTGAATATAACCAAAAGATTCGTTTATCGTACCATCAAACGATACAATGAAGACTCTAGTGTAGATGACAGGTCAAGAAGTGGTCGCCCTCGGTCTTTTCGGACTCCAGCAGTGATAAAAGCTGTGAAGGCGCGAATTCAAAGAAATCCCAAACGTAAGCAGAAACTGTTGGCCCTTCAGATGGGGTTAAGCAGAACCACGGTGAAAAGGGTGTTAAATGAAGACTGAGGGCTTCGGGCATATCGAAGAAAAACAGGACATCGTTTGAATGCTCGTCTAATGGACCTGAGACTGAAGAGATGCCGCGCTTTGTTGAAGCGGTACGCGGGAAAAAAATATCGGGAAATTCTTTTTTCGGGTGAAAAATTTTTTACCGTAGAAGAGAACTACAACAAACAAAATGATAAGGTGTACGCACACAGTAGTGAAGAAGCGAGCAACCGCATTCCGCGTGTCCAACGAGGTCATTTTCTATCCTCGCTCATGGTATGGTTAGGAGTTTCTTATTGGGGCTTAATAGAGGTAAATTTTTGTGAGAAAGGCGTAAAAACGAATGCAGTTGTGTATCAAAATACAGTCCTGACGAACCTTGTGGAACCTGTTTCTCATACCATGTTCAATAACAGGCACTGGGTATTCCAACAAGATTCGGCGCCAGCTCATAGAGCGAAGAGCACACAAGACTGGCTGGCGGCGCGTGAAATCGACTTCATCCGGCACGAAGANACCTGTTTCTCATACCATGTTCAATAACAGGCACTGGGTATTCCAACAAGATTCGGCGCCAGCTCATAGAGCGAAGAGCACACAAGACTGGCTGGCGGCGCGTGAAATCGACTTCATCCGGCACGAAGACTGGCCCTCCTCCAGTCCAGATTTGAATCCGTTAGATTACAAGATATAGCAACACTTGGAGGAAAAGGCGTGCTCAAAGTCTCATCCCAATTTGGAGTCACTCAATACATCCTTGATTAAGGCAGCCGCCGATATTGACATGGACCGTCGATTGAAGGCCTGTATTCAAAATCACGGAGGTCATTTTGAATAAACTTTAGTGTCATAAGAATCTATGTTTTGTTAAGTTCATTTTGGTATATGAGTGGTTACATAATGATTAAACTTGTTTCAATTATTTTACATTAAACATGTGACAGAATTTATGACCTGACTAGGTATATATTACTTGTATTTAGCCCGCTATCTACCTGGCGCAGGGGTTAGCGTCACTGACTGCTGAGCTGAGAGTTGTGGGTTCGGTTCACAATACGGGCGAATATTTATTTCCAGATTTTCCAAAGTTTGACTTCGTAGTCGTTGGAGGTGGTACAGCTGGTTCCGTAGTAGCTGCCAGACTGGCAGAAGATAAGAAAACTCAGGTGCTACTTATAGAAGCTGGAGGAGATCCACCTGTTGAGTCTAGTGTGAGTAAGATTTATCACCATCATGCGCTATTAAACTATTGCTCTACACATTGGTCTCTCATCTTGTTAGACTTATATCACAACATGCACTGCGTGTATTTTCTGGCACGAGGGATATAGTATCAATTCTTGCTAAAATAAAAGATATGACCCACTGAATTTAATTTATTTTTACATTTACATTTTATACTCAAGTGTTTTATTTTATGTCTAAGTTTACTTTATTACCCCGATAAATGTTTTAGACTATGAATGTTATATGTCAGATAACAGTTTACACGATTTTAACAAAAACAGTCGTGAACAATGAAGTTGATACCGCACCCCGCCTATGTTACAAGAGCGGGATGATAAGTACCTAACTAGTCTTATAATAAAACACTTAACTTTACGTGATAAAATTAATTTAATTTTTCGACATAGTATCCGTGAACATCTACGCACTTATTCCATCTTCGTTCTAATGCAGTAATGCCTTCCATTAAAAGATTTCTTTCGAGGCTTGCAAAATAATCTTCTACAGCCGCTATGACTTCATCATTTGTGGCAAATTTCTGTTCGTCCAAAAAAGTTTTGAGCTTAGGGTATAATGGAAGTCTGGTGGCGCTAGATTAGGCAAATAAGGTGGGCGGGGCAACAAATCATAATTCAATTCGTTGATTTTTGCCATAGCTTTAACACATTATGTGTGAACCCTAGAGTTGTCTTGGTGGAAGATGATTTTTTTGCCAAATCTGGTCGTTTTTGCTAAATACATTGGTGAAGAATATCTAGAAGATTAGCGTAGTATTCTCCATTAATTATTTATCCTTTAGGAAGGTAATCTATCATCAATATCCCATCTGCATCTCAAAAGACGGAAGCCATCAATTTTCCAGTCGACTTTACAGCTATGACTTTTTGTTTCTGGCGTGTTTTGATTGACCACTGTTTTGATTGAATTTTTGATTCTGGCGTGTAATAATGAACCCATGTTTCATCTATTGTTACAAATCGACGTAAAAATCGGCCTTATTACTCTGAAAACGGCACAAACATTCTTTTGAGTTTTGCACCCGAATTCTTTTTTAATCGTGCGTGAGCAATCGCGGCACCCAACGGGCCGATAACTTTTAAATATTTAATTCCTCACTTACGATATGATGTAGTCGTTCTTTTGAGATACTTGTAGTATCAGCTATTTCAGATACCTTTAATCGTTGATCTGCTAAAACTGCTATACCATGTACTTTCACGACCATTTCCGGAGTCGTGACGCTTTATGGACGTCCGGAGCGGGCTTCATCTTGGACACATGTACGACCGCGTTTAAACTCAGCCACCCAGTTTTTTAGTGTAGCATAAGAAGGAGCACATTCACCCAAAACATTATTTAACTCGTCATAGATATCTTCCCCTTCACGCCCTTCATATGAAGAAACTTTATCACGGCTCTTTGTTCAATTATATCCATTTTGAAAACACTTGACGAAATATATTTTCAAATGACAAAAAATCAATAAAATTTTCACGCCACGAAATTCAAATTTTGTAGACAGGTGGCCAGAGATACGAATTTAAAAATGACATATATATTTTTTTAATTTTAACTTTTTAAAATATATCACTGGCTATCACTATACTTTTCATCCCGCCCTCGTATGTACTACAGACATAAGATATACTCACATTTATATTTCTAAATTTATAATTATGTAGTATTCATATTAAATTGAATATTATTTATTATGAAATGTAATGTGGGAGCAAACGGCGGGTCGAAGAATATTTTAAGGGTTCTACCCATCAAAGAACTCCCCTTGTACTCTCTCACTCGATGTGCGATCTCCGCCCGGAGTCAGAACCTAATCTACTAACCTATTTGAAAAATAATTTTAATATGCAAAGGATTAACATCTGTACTCGAGGTGCCTTGTGTATTAGTGATGCGCATACGAGGGCTGCCATCACTGCTTCCCAGGTTAGTCGTCTGCGAATTGAAACAACGAAGCTCATGATTATTTTTTAACTTACCTACTGCTACTAATGTTTCTACTTCTTTGTTTATGGTGTGCCTAGACTGGTCTTTTCTTCTATCTCTACTAACAAACTGTGATTGTTTATTTCTTTACATCTTCCAGATGTTGTTGTTTAAATTGTACCAGGTTTCGTGATTTGAGAACCGTCTCAAACCAATGTACGTATCTGCGTTTGTATCTGCGTTTTCCACTTACATTGATGAACTCTTTACAGATTCCGTCGATATTAGTGTACCTTACAAACAGTTCTGTTGACTGGGGATATAAAGCAATAGATAAAAGTACAACTAAAGGGTGCAAGAGATCAAGAAACGTAGGTCTCGCTTTAGGAAGAATGCTTGGCGGCTCCACCGGGACAAACTATATGCTATATGGAGAAGGAAACAGACGACAATATAATAAATGGGCCAAAATCGTTAACGATTCTAGTTGGGACGCAGAACACCTTCTACCATACTTCAAAAAAACCCAAAATATCCAAAATAATAAAATTTTGAATTCATGCGACGAGGAATTTTTTGGATATGACGGTCCTTTTAAAGTGACCATAGAGAACCGGTTTCCCGTCCAAGAATACTTAAAAGCTCAGAAAGAGTTAGGCAACATGGTAGTTCCAGCGTTCACTTTAAATAAAACCATAGGTTATAGTCCTGCAATGTATAGCATCGGCTGTGGTCTTAGGCAAGATACGGCCTACGCTTATCTTACGCCGATAAAGGATTATCCTAATTTATACGTCTTAAAGCATGCCCTTGTCACTAAAATACTTTTTGATTCGCATAAAAACGCTATTGCAGTTAATGTTTTAATAAAAAATAAAATAAGGACGATAAGAGCAAGTAAAGAGATTATTATATCAGCTGGAACTGTGAATACACCTAAACTATTAATGCTATCTGGAATAGGTCCAAAGAAACATTTGAAGAAAAAAGGCGTAGATTTGGTTTATGACTTGCCAGTTGGACGAAAATTACAAAGTCTATCGTCAACGACAATAATTTTTAATATGAAAAATACAAATATTATGGATACAGACAAGAACCCAAAGGAGTTCCCAGCTGTTAGTTACATCGGATATGTTGCATTGAACAAGTCGCAATGCTACGCAGACTACCAAAGCTTAAGTTTCATAAACTACGCGAGCGATCAGATTCGATATTGTACTCAGATTTACGAGTTTCCTGACCGCATCTGTAATAAGTTCTTTGGACCATACTGCAATGTGAAAGGTTACGACGAGAACCAAATGGTGTTCAATTTAGTAACGGACTTACATCCAAAATCTCGCGGCAAGGTCTTACTGCGCAGCAACCATTATAAAGATCCACCGCTTGTTTACGTCCGCTACTTAACCGAAGAATCTGAGCTTGATAATATGGTTAAATATATTAAAGATTATCTTAAAGTACTTGACACTAAAACATTTAAGAGTCTTGGAGCTGAATTGGTAGACCCTGAGATAGAATGCTGCAAAGATTTAAAGTTAGGGAGCGATAAATATTGGAAGTGTTATGTTAAATGCTTGTCGGCTATAAGGCATTATGACTGTGGAACATGCGCCATGGGTTCAGTAGTTAACAAGCGACTGAAGGTGTATGGAGTCAAAAGGCTTCGTGTTGTGGACGCCAGCGTCGTGCCCGTCATCCCAGATGGCGTGTTAACGTCCGCTGTACTGGTCATAGCTGAAAAAGCCGCTGATATGATTAAAGAAGATTATAATTTGTAGTAGAATATTGTGTGTCTTGTAAACTTAATTCAGTTGAGCACATGAAAAGGGTTTCAGGAACCATATTTGTGCACAGTTTGTATTATTATATTCTGTTTATATGTATTGTGTTTTATGTTTTAGTAAAAAATAATAATAAATAAAGAATTACAGATAATATTATTAAATATGTACATATGTCTTGGTTGTCACACATATTTGACATTGTAGGATTCGTTTTGCTACATGAAGCGTGGTCCGACGATGTAAAACCTATTGTGCACCCGTCTGAGAGCATCTCCATCTTGCCTATTTCTAGTGCGAAGTATAAAATGTTCCGGTTGGACTTCTAGACAGCCAATATACAATAGAACTTGAGCGGATGCAAAATCTATGTATCCGTTTTATATACAATCTCAGAAAATTCGATCATGTTTCTCATTTTCGCAAAGAACTTAAATGGCTCCCTATACGCCTTCGTAGGAATACTCGAATATTATGTCTCCTATTCAATATCCTACATAAGCCCACTTCTCCCTTATATTTACGTGAGCGATTCTCTTTCATTCGTTCTCCTGATGCTCCCTGCAGGTCCAACCAACGTTCTGTTTTGTTATTCCCTTCCCACAAAACCAATTTCTATTCTCACTCCTTTACTGTGCACGCTGTCAGACTGTGGAATTCGTTGCCGGCTGACATCCGAGTTTGCAAGTCTGTTTCTGTTTTTAAATACAAGGTCAAACAATTTTATCTCNAAATGTAGACGCAGCCATCCTTGGTCCAGACCTTCTTCATGCCGAATCTACTGCGTGCAGCCATGAAAATGCCGTGGCGCGCCTTCGTCAGAAACTCCGAAACAGTAAAGCCGGTGCCCTTCAGTTTTGTTTTAGAAAACCAAACCTGACTGCGCATTTCATATGTTTGGAATTTTACTAGGATGGGCCGAGGGCCATCAGATGCTGACAATCGTTTCATACGGTGACATCGTTTAATATCAGTTGGGGAAAACTCAGCTACAGCAAGACGACTGCTTATGAAATCAGATAGTGCCTGTTCAATTTGCTCACCCTTAGTCTCAGTGACTCCATGAATAATCAGCATTTTTCTACGGCTGCGAGTCTCTGTATTGTCCTGCATACGAGCAAGCGTCTCCACTTGCTGTTGTAAGTTATTGAGTGCCTCAGTAATAAATGTCCGAAATGATGAAAATTCTGTTGCCAAGCTTGATGATGTGATTGAGGGTTCTGAAGACTTGTTGAGCTGAGCTTCAAACTTCGCCATACGTGCATTAAACAGCTCTGACATCTCAGTCAGTGAAGATTCAAGTGGATTCATAGTAACAGTTTAGTGAAGTGTGCAGAAGTGATTGATTGTAAAGATAACACTTTTCCAGCTGGTAGGTGCAGTTACTTGATAGAATAAATCATATAAGTAATTATATTGTAATTTTCCTTTATTTTACACTATTTCCACAAAAAACACAGTATTTCCGTTTCAACACACAACTACCCACCAGTTTTTTTTAATTTTTTTTTTGCCCTTGTAAGCAGACGAGCATACGGCCCACCTGATGGTGAGTGGTTACCGTCGCCCATGGAGTTCAGCAATGCCAGGGGCAGAGCCAAGCCGCTGCCTACCGCTTAATACTCTCCACAAGCCTCGTTTGAAGAAGGACATGTCATAGCGCTCGGGAAACACCAATAAGTATTCGATTAGTGATTTTTCCTTTCATTTTTATCACTAACCCAAAAAAAAACAAAACTAAATACACTATCGATAACGCTTATCGACAACAATAATGCGCATCACCATGCCCGTCCATAAGGCTCGTGAGTGGAAGAGAGAGCGAAATATTCGCTTCACCGCTCCGATTATTTATGACACAAACTGCACGGACAAAATAATTCTACTATAATTAAAAAACGCTTTGCATGTTCTGTCTAGTTCGGGAAGAGACGTGTTTGTCGGCTAATCAGCGCTACCATATTCTGAAAACCTGATCTGTTGAAGTTGCAAACAATGATGCACTCCAGTTTGTTGCTCAAAAGGCTTTGATTTGGTTCCCAGTTAGTTTCTGCAGCAATTTAACAAAATTTTCCGATTCCCTGAAGCAGCGGTAACTGCAATCGAGGCTTGAGAGCACGACGGGCTATTCGTGTGGTTCTTACAACGTTTTCCATAGAACGGTTCAACACAACGTAGAATGTTGACTCATCGTAGACAATAGAAATCGCTTCCGCAGCGCTACCGAGCTCGATAGCTCTGTGTTGAGAGTGTAAATGAAGGTTATATGAGAGCTGGAGTTATTGGATAGGTTCAACTTTGAACTTCTTTGTGAAAGCCCTGTAAGGCTTAGCGTCTGTAAATTTGCATACGGACGTATAGTGCGGATATAAAAGCTTAAAGGTAGAATTTAATTTTGTAATGAATGTAGGGAACACATTAATCCAGATTTTTTGGTAACTACTGGTATTTGCTGGTGGTAGGACATCTTGTGAGTACAGGCGGGTAGGTACCACCACCCTGCCTATTTCTGCCGTGAAGCAATAATGCGTTTCGGTTTGAAGAGTAGGGCAGCCGTTGTAACCACGGTTGTAACTATACTTGAGACCTTAGAACTTATATCTCAAGGTGGGTGGCGTATTTACGTTGTAGATGTCTATGGGCTCCAGTAACCACTTAACACCAGGTAGGTTGTGAGCTCGTCCACCCAAATAAGCAATAAAGAAATAAAATAAAACTAGTAGATTATTTATGTTTTCGGAAAATAACACCGTTAGCTATGGCCAAGAAGACATAAAATATGGACAGGTCGAATAACTCATCGCGTTGAAGGCAGTCGAGACAGTGCGTGAGTTGGCTAGTTTGATGCTATGCTATGAGCTGACCTGATCCTGTCATCCTGAAAGCTATCATATACTAAGACATAGATATCCGTAATGCGATTTATAATGATAGTAACAGACGAGTATATACCCCACGTGATACTGAGTTGTCATCGTTGTTCTTGGGCGCTAGTAGCAGCCAGGCCGCTCTCTGTCACACAGTACTCTCCTCAAGTTCCGTTTGAAGAAGCACTTGTCGTAACGCTCAAAAACCATGAAGGGAAGTTCAATTCAGAGACGAATGCTGGTGACCAGTAAGATCTCTGAAAACAGTAGTCGTGGTCATTAAGGCTAGCTCAGTAAATAATGCGTCATGAAAACATTAAACATCCATGATATTTCAACTTTTGCATCAAAAGCTAAGTGCCAAATCCTGTTACCGACCGCAAAAGCCACCACCGACTTCCCACCTCAGCTACTTTCCTGTCGTACCTTAAAGCCGGGGCTTACGAACTTGTAGAATATATGATCACAATGCAGATTTATGAGCAGCCAGAATTCCTCTAAATAATAAAGCGTTTCAACTTAGAAAATAAACGGGCCCTCGGGCTGGTTTCACAAACTCTCTTACGAAATCAGCTCTTTTATTTATTTATATTTCCTTGTACACAACTAAACTCGGAAGCTACCTAGAATAGACTCACGGCCCAGCTTAACAGTAGGGAATAGTAGTGTTTATCGAAGACCATAGGTATTCAGTGTAACATGACCGAACACTTTACCATGTATACATATAGTTTGCATAATTTTGCATTTGAGCGGTAACAATAGTTGCATAACAAACCTGTTTCCGCGGAAGTCTGGTTCAGTCCTCGTGACCGTAACATTTATCATTAACATTTAACATTTATGAAATATGACACTTGTAGCGTTACATGTTAATTTAGCACGTTTGTAATAAAATCAGTTTTTGACAATAGTTTTTTTATTTCTTAAATTGGTGGACGAGCTCACAGCCCACCTGCTATTAAGTGGTTGCTGGAGCCCATAGACATCTACAACCTAAATGCCGCCACCCACCTTGAGATATAAGTTCTAAGTTACAACGGCTACCCCACCCTTCAAACCGGAACGCATTACTGCTTCACAGCAGAAATAGGCAGGACTCATATAAATCATAAAATAAATCAGTTAGGAATTCCGGATAAATGAGTCCAGCCTATCTGAATTCAGAGTGGGAATTCAAAAATGGATTCCGACAAGCGACCTCACACATATCTTAAAACTTCAGATAAATCAGTAGACTCGTGTTTCCAGCAGCCAGGCAAACGTCTTGGATATGAAAGAGGAATTAATACTCATCGCACTACTTTTAGCTTTAAATAATAATAAAAAAGAAAGGCAAACGAATATACTGGATTTATCCTCTTAATGAGAACAGAGTAAGGGAAAGTCAGTTCTACATTTTTCACACAGGCAGATTTTTTTTTATCACTACAGAATGTCAGTAGCCTCATTTGATGAATTACTATGTTTGCTGGGGGATAAAATCAGAAATAATTCATAACCTGATCCCGACGTGTGTGTGCTCGCGTGTTCGAATGTACAGAAACACGCGCGTTATGAAATCATAATCTTAAATATTCCGATCCGGAATTCAGAACACTCGTCAGTATCATTCTTACAGATCGATCTGAGAAAATCATAATCTGAAAAAATCAGAATGTCTGTAAAGCATAATTGAATTGTATGCAATTCCGGGCTTTCTGAATGAATCATATGAATTCAGAGAGAGGAATTCCGGATGTATGAGTACAGCCTTAAAATTCCGACTTGTTATCGTCCCACTGGAACCTCTGGGTCTGCGGAGGGACTTCGGTTCCCTCTGTATTCTGTACCGTATGTTCCATGGGGAGTACTTTTCACAGGGACAGACTAACTGGAAGTAACTGGAAGACATAGACACCTGCTTACGTAATCTATCAATTACGTAAAGACAATCAAGTGTTCAGTTTGCCACGTCGCTCTGTGTGAGGTACTTCATTACTGTTTTCCCGTAAAAGGCTATTCTATGTGAGAAATAACTCGACAATAGCCCATAACAAGTTCGCAGGCCGTTCAGATCGGTGCTCTTATTCAAACAACTGTATATCTCATAGGGGTGAGACGTTTTTAAATTCTATTCTGTCTGTTGTACAGATGGGCACATGGAGCATACAGAATGAGGTTACCAACTATGTATATACATATATCGCAAAGTGAATATTAATATAAAAGGAAGTATCAATTAAAACCACCTCATCTCTTCTGCCGCGGAGTAGTAATGTTTTCTGGTTTGAGGAGTGATGCAGCCATTACACTACAGAATTGAGAGTTAGAGCCCATGTCTCGCAGTGGGTGGAGACGTTTACGTGGTTAATGTCTGTACTTCTACAGACTTCGCCAACAACATTACGCCTGGTGGGCTATAATTTTTTTCAAGTCTCTAAACAATAAAATGAATAAAAATACATGCAAAATATAGTAAGTTTTTTCGGTAGGCAGCAGCTTGGCTCGGCCCCTGGCATTGCTGACCATGCTGACCACTCACCATCATGCCGTATGCTCGTCTGCATACAAGGGAAATAAAAAAAAAACTTGTGTGTTACCCAAAATGAAACGTATGACAAACATGACATTATGGTATTTCATGGTTCGAACTTTGGACAAGTAATAATTTTGCATACTTTCACGAATTCACTATTAAGGAACACGATATACATATAAAAAAAAACTGATTGAAACCTAATGGTTTTTGATACTGCCGATGGTTACTGTCGATGGGTTTGTTGCACCGTCCTACCTCTATTGACCGCAAAATAACTATGTGTATGTTCTGATTTAATAAATAAGTAAAATTAATAAAATTTTAAATAGTGTTACGCCGGTAGCAGCAACGCCATCTATAGCCGAATAGCAGAAACGAATATCAAAAGAACTAGTAAAATCGAGAACGCTCGAGAAGTACAACGCCATCTATTATCAAATAGCGTAAACACATATCGAAACTACTCGATCTGTCAGGAATGTTCTCGATAAGTCTAGGGATGTCGTATCGACTATAAAAGCGTTACAGATATGACACGAAGGCTGCTCGTTAGTAATCGGATCTTCTCGAAGCGAAACAGCGAACGGATCACCTGAAGCGAAGCGGAAGAAGTGAATTACGAGTTGCAAAGTGTTCTTTATGTGTTTTAAGGATTAAAAAGAGTTTTAATTTGTACTTCGATGGAAGTTTTATTTCTCCCGAACTCCAGCGCGTAACAATAGCATTAAATACTATAATATACATGTAGGATTGCTAAGAAAGGAACGTATGAAAAGAGTGTGGAGCGTTAAGATGTGAGTGAGAGAAAACGGAAAGAAAGAGAGAAGAGAATGACAGACAGAACGACAGAGAAAAGGAAAATGGCGAAGAGGGTTAAGAAATGGGCAAGGCGTAATAAAAGTGTTAATTAATTTTTAAATTATTATTATAACAGATGATTTTGGAACAGTGGAAGTGTTATTTTATGCGCTGCGATCCCTAATTCTACATACATATAGAGGATTGTGGAATGTCTTGTCGTAACTGGTCACATGGCAGCCCTACCGGTGTTATTGGAGTGCCGCTATCTAGATCCCAAGTACGGTCGCCTGCATAAA